TAGCCAGTGCGGTTATGAGAGGTATTCACCCCACTGAACGTCCACCCTGGCGACAGCATTGCAACAATTACGTCAAAATCATAAATGTGGTCCTATAGCCAGTGCGGTTATGAGAGGTATTCACCCAACTGAACGTCCACCCTGGCGACAGCATTGCAACAGTTACGTCAAAATCATAAATGTGGTCCTATAGCCAGTGCGGTTATGAGAGGTATTCACCCAACTGAACGTCCACCCTGGCGACAGCATTGCAACAATTACGTCAAAATCATAAACAAAACCAAAACTCGACTTTCTGTATGGCTCCTATTCTGTGTCGAAATGCTTGGTAGCCTTAGCTCCATTCTACGCCTACATTATAGTAACATATTTTGTGTGTAACAATGCAATGATACGCTGCCAATTTGTGCAAGATTTAGTAATGATATGAGAATGTTTAAACGAATACACGCAACACAACGTGTACTTACGGTTTGTCGTCAGCGCTAAATATTCCCCAGTATAAATTCCCTCATGACTTCTGGAGCGGCAGAATCAAAGCCAGCCATATCAAGCATCCCAGGGTCATCGGGGTCTGCGATAGTAAAACCATTTGACGTCATAGCAACCACAATCAGCTTTGCGTCCCTGATACCTGAATGCTCACGGTACTGTCGTAGCGCCTCGGAAGGCTGGATGCCAACTTTTCTGGTTTCGCAGTCTGCAATGTAAAAAATTTACATGTAAAATGTGCAAACTTTGCAGTAAATATTTTATCACCAATTTGCAGTTTTACAGTTTGCAGTTGTAGGTCAATTTGCAGTTGTAGGTCAATTTGCAGTTGTAGGTCAATTTGCAGTTGTAGGCCTGTTGCGGTATATCAATATAGTCGATAAATATCAAAATTTCTAAAATATCGATATTGGATTTATTGAATACCGAAAATATCTAAATTATTTCGTAAAATCTAGAAAACACACAACCAACAGTTGAATGCTTGAAAACAATAGGTGTGTGATGACTCATAAAGATGGAATGTGCACTTATTTGAATAATAATATTAATGGCACTGCCACTGGTGACGTATAACCGCACAGGTTTAAAAACAAAGTATCAAAGTATCAAAGTATGACAGCTCATTGTAACTCGCTGTTTGTTGCAAAGTATGTCAATTCAACAAAGTCCTGTTTGGAATTATTTAAAGAGGTGGCGATTCCCAATCTTATGAACTGCAGAACCAGGCTTGTAAATAGTAAATAAATCTTTTTAACATTCTTCAAAAACTCATTAATAATTCATGAAGCAATTATCCAATCTTGAGTAAGAAATTAGTCACGTGCATACGTCTTTATACCAGCTAAAGAACACT